CCGACAATACCGAATCTACGGAAAAAGACAAGGACACGTGTCTCAAGATACAATCTTGTCTTAACCTTTCGGTTCTGCGACGTGACCGCCTCTAGGGGAAAAATCCTCTCGGGCGGGGCCCGTCGATCTCACCGGTGGAAAAGCGGCGGAAAAGCGCGACATGTTGTATTTTTCGCGGCATCTTTTGCTAACGACCTGAAGGAGGAGAGCACGTGAGCGAACAGGGCGTTTTCTATTTTATAGTCGATTTCTTTTTTTAATTGTTTTCTATTATATACGTAAGGTTTCGCTCGTGCCACGTGCGTTGTTATCCGGCGGAGCGTTGTTTAACGGCGCATTTATCGACGATAAATAAAGGAATATCGGCGACAAATACGTCCAAACGAGATATCGATATCAACAGCTTATGAATCACAGGCAATATCAGCGTAATAAACCCACCGGATTGTGTCACCGGACGAGCGCGCGTTAACCAAGTTACACACAAGATTTACACGTTTACGCGTTCGACATCCAGGCCGAAAGAAGGGCCGAAGGACTTGCGATTGCGAATCGCAGAGTGTAAGGACACCACGCTCTCGGTGTCGACTCGTCCAGAGGAGAAGGGCGGAAAAGGGATAGGGATCGTCTCCGGTTCCCCGCGCGCGCTCTCTCTCTCTCTCTCTCTCTCTCTCTCTCTCTCACCTCGTCCAATCGCAGGAGTTCCTCCGCGGACATGCTGCTGCGATCGCGCTTCTTGACATCCTTCCGCTCCTTCTTCTCGCGCTTCCGCTTCTCCTTGTCGTCCTTCTCCGCGGCCTTCTTCATAAAGTTGAACATCTTCTCACACGCTAAACGTCCCAAGCCGAACGCGAGAAAGAGATAGCATACGATATCTCGTTTCTCGATTGCTCGTACGCGCTCGTGGTCCTACGCGCAATCGCGGACAGTCGATCTCTCGCACCTCGTGGCACATATATGTGTATGCACGTGCACCGTGTAGCACCCCGCGATCAGCACCGTCCATCGAAACAATCGGCGAGGGTGTGTGCGCGACTCGCTCGCGCGAGCGACCGAGGCTGGCGCGCTCGCTCGCGCGCCCGCGCGCGCGCGCGCGCGCTCGCGCGCGCGAATTATTAATCGTGCGAGGCGGCGGCACGTCGCCGTCGCATCGCCCTCTCGTCGTCGGAGAGTTGCCGGCACTTGCGCCTCGTGAAGTGGCCGTCTGTCACAATTCGTCCCGGGCCGGACGACCCTCCTCGTCCGACGAGACTGCCAACGCTGCTCCGGCTCGCCCTGAAGCGCACCAGTGCACCTTATCGAGCGACCACGGCGCGGCGTACATCGAGTTGCTCTCGGGATCGTGTCCTGTAATTCATTCAGACAGAAACGTTACGACGAGGTCGATCGGGGTGACGCCCCCGGGGGATGAACCTGAAGATCGCGCGACTTCCGTTCGCGCGTGTCGCGCTCGATCGCACGCAAAAATCACGCCGGCCTCGGCGCGAAGAGAATCGCGCCGATAATGCATTCGCCCGGGACATCCTCGACATTGAACTCGCCGCCGCGCACGCACGCACGCACGCACGCACGCACGCACGCACGCACGCACGCACGCACGCACAATCAGCAGCAGTCGCGCGCGGCTGGAGGTCGCCCGGATATGACGCGCACACGCAAGGGCGTGAACCGAACTGCTTCTTCATGGCCGGACGCTTCCGGCACTCGATACCGCGAGGTATGCGGAAACGGGGCGGCGGCTGCGAGTTCTCGCGCGCGATGCCGCCTTCTTGTTCGTTACGCCGATGACGGCATGGGCGAAAGAAACGAGACGAGAACGTTGATCGTTCGGCGTATGCGTGCTTTCTCCCCTCCCCCTTTCTCTCTCTCTCTCTCTCTCTCCCCCTCTGTCGTTCGCGATTGCGCGAGATCGCTCGGACTCACACCGAGCGAAACGGAGGGATTTTTGTTTTTCTTCATTTTTCTTTCTCTTCTCTCTTTTCCTTTTTCGAGACGCCGCGCGAGTTCTCGCGCGAAACGCCCTCCTGCATTCCCGTCGCGTCGCGTGACGGCTGCGGAATCAGCCAGATAAGAAAGTTGTCGGAGTTGTGCATTATCGAACCGCACGCCGGTTATCTTTGCGATTATTGACACGCACGTATTCCTTGTCGCGTGAAAATCAAGTTGATTGGAGCGACGGTCGACCGTCCTCAGTTTCGCCATTCAATTAGTCGAAGAAGCCTGGGTATTCTTCGGATACACCCCGCCAGCGATATCGACACGCACACGTAGAGAGATACACACGTCGAGAGATCCTTCGCACCTGTTACTCGTATTTTAAAGAAATCACAGTCGCGGTCGTCCTTGGCGCTACGAGAGCGTGTCTACGAGAAAACTAGAAAGGCCACAATTAAACGGGCTGTTATTAGCGCGACACACATTTCAGCCGGTTGCAATGCTGCGTTTCCGCATATAAATGCCCGCGCGGCCTCTGACGCGAGAAGGGAATTCGAACATAATCGGAGCACGCGGAGCGCGTTACGCAAACGTCGATTTTACGTCATTGAATTATCGCATTCCCGCGTGCGGAGGGAAACGCACGATAAATCTGCGGTAAGATAAATATTTATACGGACAAACGCGCGCGACGCGTGCTATTATTCCGATCTCTCTCTCTCTCTCTCTCTCTCTCCCTCTCCCTCTCTCTCTCTCTCTCTCTCTCTCTCTCTCTCTCTCTCTCTTCCTCGCTCGCACGAGCAGTAGATGCACATTAGAGCATCGAGCCGGCGCTATTAGCATGCCGGCGCAGCATAACGACACGCGTTGGCTTTTCCATCACGCCTTGCCCCTCGCTCCTCCTTCCCCTTCGCTTAAGGGCACCTCGGGAAATTCTGTTGAGTCTACGGCGAAGCTGCACGCGTGCCGTCGATCGATTTCGCGCAACCAACGGTCGCGGCCGAGCCGGTGAGTTTTACGGTCGCGCTCGTTCTCGACCACGCCGTTCCCGAAAATCCTCCGACCACCCCGACAACTCACGATCGATGCACCGCGATGCGGCGCGTTACAATTTTCGCGTGCATTTTCGCATCGCAGCGTGAACTCTCGCGCCGGAAGCTGCCCGCAGGCCGCCAGGATTTCGCGGTGAAGAAAGATCCCGACTTTTCCGACCAGTCGTCCGAATGGTAGTATATCGATACCGTTCGAGTCCCGAGTACCTAAATGTCTCGACGTCACATCTCTCACGAGAGAAAATCCCCGGCGCAGGTCATCGGGTCGACCCGCTGAGCTTCTCGCAACTCGCTGAATTTTTCGCAGCAGGCGGCCACACTTTTCACCTCCCGAGCCGAGCCGAGAAAACCGTCTCAACCGTCTCGCCCGCGATCGATGCCGCGTACGCTCCTTCAGCTTTGCACTTTGTTCCGAATGCACGCGGCACTTTTATTTTTTACGGGGAGAAGGTGTGCGTGTGTGAGAGAGAGAGAGAGAGAGAGAGAAGGGGAGGAGAGAGGACAGACGACAGAGCGAGAGAGAGAGAGAGAGAGAGAAAGAGAGAGGAGGGAGAGAGAGAGAATAAGAGAGAGAGAGAGAGAGAGAGAGAGAGAGAGAGAGAGAGAGAGAGAGAGAGAGAGAGAGAGAGAGAGCGCACTCGAAATCGCGGCTAGACGTCTGAGAGGAGCGGCGGGGCGCCTTACCTACGTGGGTTCGACGAGGCGCATCGATCGACCCCGAGAAGAGCGAGAATGTAGCTGCCTGTACCCTGACGCGCACCTTCCGCGGGCGTTCCGCTCGTACGCGGTGCACGATCTGTTCCGGAACTGACAGCCAACGTGTGTGGCTGTCGACGAGACACGCGAGTCACAACAACACCGCCACCACAACAGCCGTCATTCACGAGAGAGAGCACCCACGACGCGTGCTCGCTCCGGACGCTCGCGCGCTCGTTTGCTCGCTGACTCTCCTCTGCACTGCTTTTCCTCGTTCTCCGCGACAGCTCCGCGAACACTCCGCTGACAGTCAGCAGCACGCCCAGGGGGGCCGTCCCCGTCTGGCCTACCTGGTCGGCGCGCGTGGATCGCGCTGCGACTCCAGCAGCGTGACGGCCCAGCCGAGATGACCGGATCTCGGTCGACCTGCTCGAGGTGCGACGCGGCGCGACGCGGCGGCCGCGGACATCAGTCGGGCGTCAAGCGACGCTCTTTAAACGTGTTACTGCGCGATTCGGTGCACTCGGTGCGACACGAAGAATTGTCATGGTAGCGGATGGAGAGCGGGGCCGGTGGCAACTGCTAGCGCCTTTGGCCAGACAACGGCCTGTTAGCCAGCACCCTTCTTTTCCAAACAGCTATTCCCGAACCGCGCATGCGTGCATAAAGAGACCTTTCGATCCACCGGCAGAATACAGCTGTAGCGGCATCTTCTGAAGCCGACCTGCCGAGGTCTTTGACTCTGGATCTGCCAGCCACGTTCTGGCTTGCCCTAGAGACAGAGAGAGAGAGAGAGAGAGAGAGAGAGAGAGAGAGAGAGAGAGAGAGAGAGAGCGTGAGAGTGACTTCACCATCGGTCGGTTCGAGATTCGGTTGTATCGCTGCGTCTTGAAGGCGCTGAATCGGGCCGGGTGTAGCTTCGGCAGGTACAGCACGATGATATCACGGTGTGCCGTGATTAAATAATCAGTCAGTTGGTTGTTGCAGTGTGTTAAAAAACATCAAGAATACCTTGGCGAGGACAGTGCGACTATTTTAGCAGTGCAAGCACTGGGCTGCAAGTTCACATATTTGTTTTTCTGATATCCTTCTCGAAAACTATTGTTTTGCAACTTATTGTATGCGAGTATTGAATTCTATCACTCTCTGAATTTGCAATATCTTGCTCCAATGCCGTTCCAATGGTTATCGTCCGTCTTCTTCTCTCGATCGAACGATACCGTTCTTCATGATCGTCGATAAACAACGTTCAAACAACGTCCCCACCAGCTGGCAGCAGCTCTCGCGCGCAGCCGAGGTCGAGATATCATGTAATTACTGGCGTGCCCATCAGTTGATGGCACTGCGTCAGCAAAGCGTCTCGCTCACTCGCAGCTTCTGTCTAACAGGACAGGCATGTGGTGTCGTGGCATTTTAGGGACGCGTGCTATTTCCAACAAGACGCTTGTTTTCACGTCCTTGCAGCGCTTGACGAGTAATAGTACCAATGTTATCGAGAATCTCAGTGCGACGGCCAAACAACTCAACGTTGTTCCGTCAAGACAGCCGGTGCAACGCTCGATCGCTTCAAACGCGTGTGGAAGTACAATCGGCGACATTATCGATCAATGGAGTCGTCGATTTGAGGCCGAGGGCATACCGGAGCCGGTAGAGTCGATAGAGCACATAGTAGCGCACATTGTAGGAACCAGGAAGGTATCGACCACTATTCTTTCATTCGCGAGCGTACATTAAGCATATTTGCTGTGTGGACTTTGTTGCCAATTAAATTGATATATGCGTCATAGTGGCATTTCAACATATTATTGGCGCGCAAACTTGTAACGCTTGATTGCTACAAGGCTTACTGTTCCATAAGTATTGTATTGTTTTTAGATTTTTTTTCTGTTCTTATTTTATTTTTGGGATTTTTGTTCTTAGATTATTTAAGAAATTCAAACTTGAGAAATCCACCTCTTTAAGAGACGGGGAACTGCTCAAGATCCGATAAACTGATACGAAAATTTAATACCGTCTCCATCATTATAGTAGCAGAGGTGGGGAAGGAATTGTCCTAATATCCTCTCTTTTTTCTTGTAGACGTTAGATGTTTTTAACATGAGAAACGACAAATTCAACGCGAGCCAGATCGAGGAATTGGAATCGCTGTGCGAGTGCCGATTGTCGAGGTAGGGGATGAATTTTTCATCTTGGTCCCGTCGAGATGAAAATGTATTTCATCTTGTTGTCATCTATTCGTATGGGATCCTTCATGCTCACTCATAAACGCCAGATCCTCACAGGATGCCAGTGCAGTACATTATTGGCGAGTGGGACTTTCGGGACATTACCGTGAAACTGGTGCCACCAGTCTTTATACCTCGCCCGGAGACAGAGATACTGGTGGATTTCGTCCTGAAGAGACTAAACTCGTCGCCACTTGAGAACTGCGAGATTTTAGAGATTGGTTGCGGCTCAGGCGCTATATCGCTGGCGCTTGCTCACGCTTGTAAAAAGGTACACTCGTTTGCACAATGATTTCCACACATTTTGGCCGGTGGAATTGGGAACGTATCAAATCATCACACGAGAGCTTGCCTGGTAATTGTTCGTGACAGGAGCTGATGACGTGACAATAAATAAATGAGGCAATAATCCGACATCGCAGCTGCCACAGAACATTCTGAGAAAAATGTAAGTATCTTCTTTATATTCTTATCAGAATGTCAGATAAGAGTATAATAAAGAAAGTCAATATTGACATCGTATACTGTCATCTTGGCTCTTGTCACAATCGCTTATCACGCAAGACTGTGAACAACGGCGCACAATTGTTTGACCGTTTGATGCGCTCCTGACGACACCAGCAAAAATGTATGAAGACCGTTGTGCAAACGAGTGCACACGATGCGCTATGATGACGCCGCTGATAAACTAGAAGCGGACGCGTACTTTTATCTAGATAAAGTGCACAGCGATCGACGCTAGTCCGCACGCTTGCGACTTGACCATGACGAATCGCAGCCAACTGAACTTGATGGATCAAATCGCAGTGATACACGCAACCCTGAAGCCGGACGCTACTGTCGAAGTTACGAGCATGTCGAACGGTGCCGGTAAGATGGATTTGAATTCGAAGCAGTTTGACTTTGTAGTCAGTAATCCACCATACGTACCGACGAAGAAAATACTGGATCTGGAGCCTGAGATAAAAATGTAACGTACAAAGTCGTCGCAAAAGTTTCAGCGACTAGACCAGCATGAATAACGAATAATGTATCTTTCACGCAGCTATGAGGATCTCAGGGCGTTGGATGGTGGTGACGATGGGCTGAAAGTCATTAAACCACTCCTAAGATATTCCGCTAAGGCGTTGAAACCTGGCGGACGTCTCCTCGTGGAAGTTGATTCCACTCACCCCGAGTACATAAAATTTTTTACTAACAAGTATTCTGATTTGAAGCTGCATTACGAACATACGTACAAAGATTTCTGCAATAACGATCGTTTCGTGGAAGTACTGAAAGTCAACTAAAGAGAAGTTGTCAATACCGTGAGCTCTCTCGAAGTTTGTCGCCTTGCGATAATTACTTTTGTACGATAGATTCGATAAAAGGAACAAGTTACATATTATGTCTTCCAAGACTGATTCAAACCAATAGTAATAACTAATAATAATTTATAATAATACAAACTAACAATAATATATGGAGTACATTACATTCAAGTTTATTGCATACTTCAGTTTATAGATACATTTCCACATTGGACGGATCAGTCACAAGTACTCATCGTGTTTTCTTCTTTATTTTTTCGTTATTTAATCAGTCGAGCTTCCTACCTGAAGTATCTCAATCGGGCGTATCAAGTTTCGCCAGTGTATACTTGCCCAATAATATGTACAGTTACAGCTGATTAACAAGTCAACAGTTCGGTGGCACAATTTCGATTTGTAACAAGACAAGACAAGACAGGCTACGGTACATAATTCACTTTCGTCTTCTTCTGCGAGATACGTTTGTGCTTCTACGAGGTATTTATGTGCGAAATATTTCAGAGCTTGCTGTATTCTAATTCACACAGAAGGGAAATTCTTCAACGTCGAGATACAAAATCTTGTGGAAAAGGTTAATCTAAGTTATTTACACGCTGTCCTCTTCAATTTATAAAGAGTGACATGACTCTGCGGACGGCGGACTCAGGCTGATGCACTCCTGTTGCAGCTGTGTGTCCTCCTACAGAGGCGAGAACTTCTCCAGTTCCTTCTTGATGGACGCGATTAAAGGTACCGCGGGATCTTCCGGTAGAAGTCTACTTTCCGCTAATATGCGTCTGCTGTCCACTTCCGGCAAGTTCGGCCGATGGAACGGTCCTGCGCTAAGTGGCCTCGAGCCCCAGGCACCGCGAGGATGAAGCGGCCCGGTCTGACCTGTTTCCGGGATGTCCTCGTCGAGACCTCTGCGTGGTAATGATGTACGTGGTCGTGTTTTCATTTCCATCGTGGGTGTTGCTACTGGACTAGATGATCATTCGATCGTTTTTACGGTTTATTTATTCTGCGCTTGCAGATTACACACTGTATTATCTATTTACTGCCAACCACTGGACATTGTTGCAGTATGTTATTACTGTCTAACTTATCGCAGAGTCTTTCACTTTGTTACAAGTTAATCTCTAGACTCTCGAGTTTCTCTGGACGACGGACTGAGGAATAAGGTTTTGAGGGATACAGAAACATATGTGCTTGAGTAGCAGAGCAATTATCCGTTAGAAGAGGAAGTATATGTACCTGACGTTTGCGGATTTGCCTCTGGTCTCCGAGAGTATCGCGAGTGTGTCCGCCGTTCGCGAGACCGCATTCGGCGGTGGCTGCGTCGTTTGCGACTGCGGCTCTTTAATCTTGGCGTCTCTGCTGCCGAAGAGGCTGAAGGAATCCTCGAGGAGCTCATGGAGTCTTCTCCTGGCGCGACCCACGGGTCCCGCTGGTAGATTGTACACTCCATCGACATCCGTTTCGGACGTACCGTTACCTTCAGACAAGTCGAGTCTTTCGAGAGATTGTGTGAAGAAGTGAACTATTCCTCTCGCACGTCACAGTAGCCGATCGCGAGCGAGCGTAGTCGTCGTAGCTTCACTTGCTGCGGTGCAATGCTCGAGAGATACGACGTTACCACTTAATCGCTCGTAATCGACTCCGTAGGAATGCTGATGAGGTTGGACTATTGGATTGTTCAAGCGATCGCGATTAAAGTACCAAACGCACGTAAAGCTGGAAGAGCGACACCGCGTACCTTCCGCGGAGAACGATCGTTTGCTGAGGTTCCAGACGATCGGCCCTACGGTTCCGGGATCTCTCGAGGCGCTCGACGTCCTCGCGAGGAACGTGTCGTCGATATTGTCGCTTCGGTCGTGACGCACCAGCTCTGGAGAATCAATGTCCAGGTGCCTGACCTAAAGAAAGCAGATCTTATCATCGGCACAATCATGTGCACGTCTTATTCGCGCGATCTGACCCGGGTTGGTGTCTTTCCTGTATTACCATGACGGGTTCCAGCACCCTCGACAGTGGCTCGACGCTTCTCATGCTGGGGAACTGCTTGCACGACGGCATTGACAGATAAGACCGTGGAGAAGCGGTGGAGTCCTCCCGCCTGACATAGCCGTTCTCCAAGGACTCCAATGTTTCCATGTGATCGTCCATCGTGTCCAACGAGTCGGGTGTTCCGGGCTGGTCGACCGCGTTTGTTCTCGTCATCCTGCCGTGCGACAGCCTACAAATATACGCGTGAAGCTACTTTGTTATTGAACTTTTCGCGCGTTTACCACGCTTCGTTCAATCAAACTCGACTCTTTCGGCTACATTTTAGGTCATCAATGGGTTATCGAATCTTTCTCTACCTTTTGCACAGTTTTGTGCACTTACACGGAAAAATACTGTCGAATCAATAGAATTGGTGAACAGCGCTGTAATTGTCGCAAATCTTCTGGAACCAACAGCAGTTTTGTTGAAACCAACATCCGAGTTATTGAAACAATGTACGCTGCGTCAGTTCGAAAAATATCGCTGAATCAAAGAGATTTGCTTCAATCACGCCATTGCTGATCAGTTTGACTGATTCGACAGCAGTTTCCTCCCCAAGTAAAATCGTCGACGATATTACAGTCGTCTGTGAGTTAGTTAGTCAGGCAGTTCGTTGATTACCTTGCCTTCTTACTTGGATGTTCCTGAACGCCCCAAGGTACCGAGCCGCGAGCCTTCTTCGGCTCGTCGTCGTTGTCGCTGGAAACTTCGTGAATGCCCAACTCCAGACTGTCGGGTGTGTCGGGCGTGATCGGAGTTCTGGACAAAGTTCGTGGGGTTTGCCGCTGACTGGTACCGTCGGTCTGCGGGCAAGGGTGGGCCGCTTAAGAAGAAGCGTACGATTCGCCCGGTGGTGGCGGGGGGAGGGGGGGTGGGAGTAATATTTCGTATTGAAATCGATATCGTCCCGACCGCGACATCGAGAAACTCAATTGTCTCTCCTTGTAATTTACGTGCTTGTTTATAGATCTTTCGCGTGCCGTGTTCAATGGCTCGCGCTCGTTTCCTCATGGTATCCTTCGTAATCTTTCGCACGCGACGAAACAATTGTGCAGTTTGCGGAACACCTTCCAGCTTGCACGATTTTACATAATTTCGCAAGCCCGCGTCTGAGCGTTTAATCGCCGTCACAGGAGCCCGCGCCGACTCCCGCGTGGATACCGGCTCAATCGCGGATTGGAAGCTTCCTCAAGTTTACACCGCTTACACCGAGAATAGAAACAAGTGTCGCGCAGATTGCATACCTTGACCTCCGTTTCCGACGTTGAGAACGCGGCGTTATCGAGACCGGGAGTCGCGGCCGCATATTCGCGATCTTTCTTGAGTATACTTTTGTTCGGCGGCCCGACGACGGCACTGTGCGCTCTTTTCTTCTTGGCGGCCAGGATCAAGCTGGTGAGAACCACGATTAACAAAACGACACCCGCGCTGGCTGCGCCTATCAGCAACCAGGCGTCTCTCTTCCGCGACAGCGCCAGGGGTCGACTCTCCTTCAAGTAAGCTGCAAACGCGATAAAGCATGTGCATTCGCGCCTCATCGAACACACCATTCACTCTTCAGCAAATTGCTATTAGTCACTCACGCTCGCTCTGAATAATCACCGGCGCGCCAAGTTCCAGAGCGACCTCTTGAGGTGAGAGAAGCGCCATGTCCCTCGCGGCCGTTTCCGCCGGGACGGGCTTGCCGTCCAGGTGGACCGAGTAGATCAGTCTCGTCGCACCGCCTTCGATGACGCTCGTGTTTTGCATCCGCACCTTCACGATCCCCGGAACCGAGCCATCCACCAGGCGCATCTTCGAGCGCACGGCTGCGCTCGCGCTCTCGTTCTCGCTCAAGCTCGTCGTCGAGCGGTTCTCCGAGGCAACAACGTCGACGTTCGATTTGGCATACGGTGCTGGCGTGAACTCTCGCGGAAATAACTCGCCAGAGCTCGTACCAATCTCGGGCTCAATGCTTGTGAACTCGTCGTTCTCCGACGACGAGGCTTGCGTGTCCTCCTTCAAAGTCTTTATGATTTTCTTCAGGGCGAGGCCCTCCTTCGTGGGTTTCTCGTAATCGTCCATAGTGTCGAACGTCGGAAGCAGCATCTTCTTCGGCCTGGGGATCTCAATCATTTTCATAGACTTGACCCGTATGTCGTTCGGAAGCTGCGTTTTGTCCCCAGCTAAGCTCGGAACGCCCGCTTCGGTTGCCGTATCAGATGAAGAGTCACCGACGGTCAGTTCGGTCGGTTGCGCTTCACCTGCGTTCGCTGGAGTCTCTGTTTGACGGACTCCTGCTTGGGACGAAGCTCCGAAATGTCCTGGTGCACTCTGTACATAACGCGCGCATTAAGAAGAATAAGAGCGCCTGATCGCAAGCGGGTTTCGCCTGAAAGATTGCTCGAAATCCATTGCAGGGAAAATGATCGATACGAGGGAATATACAAATTAGCCTTGTCCGTAATTCGGGCAGCGAGCGCTCGAATAACGAGGAGACGACGTAACAATTTACCTTCCGGCTTGCGTAGCCACGTGACAATGCGTTTCTCCGGGATCGCGGATCGGTCGACAGCAAGCCGAGGTGCCGTTGTTGCTGCCTGGAAAACGCGGCTCTATACAGGCGTGCCAAACGAAGCTCGACTTTGGGTGGCACGACCTCACCTGGCCGAAGAACCGTCAGCAGCCAGTACCTGATATTAGCATATCTCTTCATTTTCCTTCGTCGTTGGCTCTACATCATTCAGCAGCAACGATGTCATTGCTCTGATTCATTTTAACGATATTACTTCTTGCGACAGTCTCGCGAAAACATATCCGTTGTATCGATTTGATCACTTTTGATTCTTCTCCAATCCAAACGATACACTTTACCCCATAATATTGATCCATCCTAACTACCTTGGACCTGGATCCTCCCCAATCAGGACCCCGATGCTCTGATCCTCATCGTCGTCCAACCTAGGTGTCGGTTCTATGCACATTACGCATTCCGGATTGTGGGCTTCCGGGTGATGAGGCGACGCGGGAACCTTCTCGTCGGTCGGCGTGTAGACCGTGACAGTGTGAACGATCGTTCTGGTCTCGTAGTAGGTTAAACCCTGACTTGGGTCCACCCATGGTGGCGCGTCCTCCAGGCCGGTCCAGAAGAAATCCTGAAGATGCACTCGCCGCCCCGGCAAGTGCTCGATTAGGATAATCTCGTCTTCTGTACGTGAACAAGAACTGATGTCAAGGCTCTTTGCTCTTCCACGTGTACGTGCATGTTACCGCGAGATATGATGCCGCGGACAAACCGTGTCATGCGATACGATATTGCGACTCGATGTTATGGAACCGATGAGATCCTCTGCGGCAAATCTTTATTTCTCTTAGATATCAACGACGTATGCGAGAGAAATAATTGTTACACACGTTCCAATCTTCAGTCGCAATACGGTTGCATTGCATTCAGCTCCGAATAAAACATAGATAATAATTTAACTATAAAATTAAGCTATACAATTGAAGAGCCTCATGGCCTGCCGGAGAAAAGTTACGTAAACCACGTCACGCAGGAAGAAGGGTAAGAAAACAGACATGGTGCGTGGCCGCGGTAGCTTTTCCGGCGAGGCAGCTCGCCGATGAGGCCAATGACCGGCCGTCATGCGACTTATCAACAGTGTCACGACATCGCGCGCGGAGGAGGATGAACCGATCATAATAGATACGATAATAAAAAGCGGAGACGACGGGAAGTTAAGAGGAAGGAATCCCTTATCACGCAATCACGTGAGCAGGCCTCGTAAAAGTTGCACGATCCATTCACATGCGTGAGCGGAGCTTATTTTCGATAATCACCGGCCTGTGTTGTTCGCTTATTTTGTCATACCGCGTGTTCCGCTAATCACAAGGATAATGTCCCTCGCGGCGAGGTTTCGCAACGTTTCGCCAAGCGCGAGAAAGCCGCGATGCGGCGGATGAGCACGGTTCTCCGCGAACAGCATGAGCCTCGGAGTGAGGTTGACTTTGGGTTGAGGCTTTTCAAGCGGACTCCGCTTTTCAAACCGCCGATCAATTATGACGCTACATGGGACACGTCCGCGGTGTTTATTCTCTTCGCGTAATTTTTTCCGCGTTGTCGCAACGACCTGGTTTCACGGTCCGTTTGACTTTCCGGTGCGGGAGTATCGTCGCGGTATCGCGACTACTCAAATCGCTCGCAATTTCGCAACTTTGTGTCCACGCGAGCTCTCGCGATTCGTCTCCGTCAGACTTCAGCGAACGGCAGCTGGGGAAAAATTCACGATCACTCCGGAGTGCGTGCAGTACACGCTGCGTCTGTGCACACATGCATTATTTTCTTCTTTTAATTTTTTTTTTTACAAGTAACTTTAATACGAAATATTGTACGATGCAAGGTATGGATTTTTTTTGCCGTCTTCGAAGCAGACGCTCAGCGCCAATTATCTCATGCATACGCAGGGTTCATAGTCACGCGGCGTGTCTCAGGTATTTTTAGTACGTGATGGTAGTGTTAAATCGATAGAAAACGGAGTTCCTATGGTGAGAATGAGTGAAATTGATCGCCATTAACCCCCCGTACAACGCGTCGCTCATTCCGTCGCATTATCGCCGGCATTCCCGCGAATTTACGGGTAATCTCGTGCTGACGCGTCTCTATGACGCATACGTGTCGATATAATGAGGAGCGTCTCCGTGTGACTCCTTCCGAGGAGCGACCATGGTCGCGCCTTCTGCCGTCCACGATAACCCGACGCCGATGTGCAAAATTCGAAGTATCAGCAAGTATATCCCGATAAATTATGCTTATGGTTTATCGATCGGAAACATCTTGCGCTGTCTTGCCACCATCACGCAGAATAGCGCTGCCGTATTCCGGCGAGCACGTCGCTCTTGACACGTACACATGTATGCTGATAATAATATCGATTGTGCAGACCGCGTACACCTGCACGAGAGTGCTGAATTACTTAAGCCGTGTGTTGCAGACTGGCGCCCAGCTGGCAATATCTGCTGAAATCTGACTGACTTCAGTTGCCAGCACATTGACAACAAGGTCGCGGAAGAATGCACCCCGTGCGGAAATGGGATCACGGGACGCGGAGCGCTTGTGTTCTCACGTGCACGTGTATCGCTTTATGAAAGAGCGCTCCCGAATCGATCGAGCACGTGGAACCAACTACGTATATGTGCTTGCCGTTGCTTGATTCACACATACACGCACACATACGCCGTGTGTACGCGCGTAAAATATGCCGCGCGAGAGAGAGAGAGAGAGAGAGAGAGAGAGAGAGAGAGAGAGAGAGAGAGAAGGTAAAACGAAGTACAGGTATTCGGCTGTTGTTTGGTGAAGAAAGCACACACGTAGTAAAGGTAGGCATGATAATAAAAATTAATGCAGCATAAGTAGCACGCAAGAGGAAGTGTCAGTTCTTTCCTCCTGTTTTTCACGAGACTAACTTTGCGCGACAAAAATAAAGCGAGTTCGTCGGGCACTCGACGTTGAAAAAAATCGACGATTCGGCGATTACGAACTGAGTTAAGTAAAAATGTAATCTCAGAAAATATTGCAATTAAACTGGGTGCCAATTTCGGTGATACAAAATTATGTGCATGACGCTTTTATTTTATAGGAAAGAATTCGTCAGTCTACGATGACATTTTCACTCATGGTGAATGAAACTATTTTTAAAATATACAGAATCATATGTGAGTGTGTGTACGTGTATGTAGGTACATATGTATATATATATATATATATTTATCACTGACCGGTTCCTGGTGGCATGGACGCGAGCACTCTCGAAATATTCGAATTTTGCAGTAGAAAAATCGCGATTTGCACGACGGTGCCGAAAGATGCGGATAATGCTGCACGCAATACACCGCATAGTAGCATCGCGTTAAGCGCGCTCCGCTATACTAAATCGACGACACTAGGGAGTGTTTCTGCACATGGACGAATAGGTACAAATTGGCCAGGTAGGCCGGAGTATGCGCAGAAATCGTGCGGACAGAAAAAGTAAAGCGTAGGTAAATGAAATGAAAAAGGGAATCGCTTTTGTTGATCTAATCACATCATTGTTCTCTTTCTTTTTTTCTTTCATCACGCCATTCTTCCCATTCGAGTAGAACTTTAACGTACAACGATGTATTTGCGGTAAAATGTGAGATCGTTCTTGCGCGACATTTTACCGTGATCTTTTTTACCTGCCGACGCTACACGCACAGGTAGTATCAATAACTACAGGATGTTTCGCTTAGTATCGTCAAATAAATTACCTTCGGTGGTAAGATTTTAAAGTAACGTCTTAACAAGAGTGTTGTGAATAAACAATATTCAGAGAGCAAGGCAAATATAAAAAAATAGAGAGCTCTGTGGTTTCGTGAGTAATAATAAAAAAGGAAATATTATCTCTTGAATTACGTATATCGTTTCTTAAATTACGATATGTCAAATTGGTTAACTGTCCAAATAATGATAATGTTTTATCGTACAGTTTACTTTCTGAAAAGGCAAGAAAGGAAGGTTTCTTAAGCATTATTAAACAGTCTTAAAATCGGCCTCTTAATATTTAATCTCATCTACAAATTAATTATAGAAATTAAAAGATTCGCGAAAGTAAAAAAGAATCAGTAAATAGCATACCATGATCTTTCCTCTCTGTATCTGTCGAAAGTATTTGTTTATTAGTATATTAAATTAGAATATAGAGTATATAGTATACATACACGCACATATTACAATTCTATGTGCAATGTGCCTGACGATTAAGGACAACACTTGTTCGTAAAATGACAAAGGACTCTTCTGAAACGTAATCTACATTTTAAAAGAGTCCTTTGCCATTTTACGAACTAGTGTTTATTAGAGAATTAATAAAGTTTAATAAAGAATTAAAGGATTAATATAAGAATTAAAAGATTAAAACGTGGATTACCTGTTGTAGAAGGGTGGAATTAGAAAAAGAATACAGCGGTTTAGCCGTACAAGATGAAAGGAAATATTTTATATTAACGTCAGAAATTCTGACCATTGTATTCTTTTTCAAATTCCACCCTTGTACAACAGGTAATCTACGTTTTAATTCTTTAATTTTTATATTAACCCTTTAATTCTTATATTTAACGAATATTATTATAATATTGTATATTATAAATCATTGTTTTCCATTATTAATATATCAATGTATTGCCCATTTTCCTCTATATGATCATTTTATCGACGCGCTTTGTAGTTTTGCGAGGTCTACCGTTTCGTTTATTAGCTAGAGAATTCGTCAACTTATATTTAGCAATAATCCTATTTACAGTACTTTTATCAATTAATAAGCAATTAGCAATTTCGCGAGAAACCTTTCCTTGTTGAGAAAGATTAATCACGGCATTGCGTAACTGAAGGCTTGTATGTTTCGGCATTGCGGTAAACAATAGACTGTAACTTATTGTTAACAATAGTTAAAGCAAATATATACGAAGGAGTTTCATAAGAAACCTAAATAAACCGGGTTCATAAAGTCACACAATAAGAATATGGCTCAATACTTTTGAACACATGTAAATATTATATGATTAAATAATTAGAAACTATGTAATTTCAAAATTTTGTAACTGTACTATTATTTGTAAGAATGTTATGTCAACTATTTTATATAATTAATTTTTAGAGCAAATCAATATATTGTCATGTATCTTAAAAAGACACTATGGCTCGAAACTTTTGCACGCCACTGTAAGTTTCCTTATTCATATGATCCGGTTCATGACATCCGGTAAACTTTGATTCTGGCTGCGATTGGCTACTGCTATATTAGCATACAATAAGTCGAAGAATAATTTAGACTAACCTTGTCAAAACATATTGGGTCTATATTTATCGTCCATTAAGGTTATTAAGATCAGATTGAATAGAAAGAACTATTATCTGTTTCTACCGCTTCAAGAGTATCGCTAACAATTCGTTCTTGTAATAATCTTTTCTTCCTATAGGATTCCCTTTATTTTCAGAAATTACGTATCTTTCTTCTAGAATTTTAGAATTTTAGATGACGCATTACGTAGTAAAATTAATCTGATATCTTACTTCAGACATTTCCGGTCAAAAAGTTATTTTTACAAAAAAAAGAGAAAAAGAGGAAGAAAGTATGAGAAAAGAACTATTTTTATCCAGAATTCCGAAACAAATAACACGTTGCTTGAAATGTTTTTTCATATCTGCATTTGTTCTCGAGAAATTTAGCAAGAATGTTTTTTGGGTATAGTTTTGTTCTTCTTTTAAAAAAATTAATCAAACAACAGTAAGGGTGGAAAGACCGGTGATAAGAAAATTATTTTGACTAACTTTAATTAAAATCTCACTATTAACAAAGAAATTTTAACTTTATTCTCCTATTTAATGTGTTCGAATAATATTGAGAATTTGGCCATTTTGATTCTTTGTATCTCGAAAACTATCTCTATACTCAAGTTAATTTTTTTCTAAAATTGATACTCATTTTATAGTATTGTTTAGCACATTTAGCAGTTTGATTCGAATTTCAAGGACCACAAAATTGGCGTAAAAGACATTCTGGCGTCAGTCTTTTGTAGCGCGCATATTTGCTACTAAAATTTTTTATTTTATTTATAATAGTACATTTCTGATAAAAGTTAACGATATATGTTTACATTATAATATATAGATATTTTCATATATCATAGAAATAATTATACAATCCCACTTAAGATAGATGTCAATATTTTCAATTCGTCTTATAAGAGTTTTATAAGAGTATAGTTAGTACTGTAAGACGTATAGTTTCTCAGATATACTAATTTTATACGCGAATTTATTACAATTTTGTACAATTACAAAGGGAAGTGCTTATGATATACTGTTCACTGATTTTTTATTGCTTTTAGTAACTGCAAAATATTTAAATTACTAATACCGACACATGTAATAAATAAATTTTGCAATCCCATTTCCTTGTAATGTAATGTTCAATGAATATAATTTCCAGTTTTTTATGAAATTAATTATACTATAATTATAATATAATAAATTATATTATAATCATAATATAATTAACCCTATATATATAATATAAAAACCTAGGAGATATGTTCATTAAACATCATATTACAAGGAAATGGGAATGCAAAATTTATTTATTACATATATCGGTACTAGTAATTTAAATATTTTTCAGTTGAAAGCAAAAAAAAATCGGTGAACAGTATGACATGAGCACTTCCCTTTGTAATTATATAAAATTGTAATAAATTTGCATATAAAATTAATATATCTGAGAAATCATATGCCATGCGGAATAACTCTTATAAAACCGATTGAAAATATTGCTATCTTAAGTGGGATTATATAATTATTTCTATGATATACGGATAAAGGGATTGAAAATGTTAAAATTAATATATCTATAGGAAGAAACATATTTATGATCTAGTACGGTTACTTTCAACAGAGATTATTGGATTATCGTCTATTACATTTGACTGTGTTTTATTGACACCTTCAATCTGTTGCCCATTGATCGCAGCCACTACTTTATCGCTGTCAACGATCGTAATGTGATTACCTTCTACAGAATGAATTTGCACGTTTCCTGTAGTAATCTGAAAATTGCATTATTAATTAAAATTTGTTTACCGTGTATGCTTCCAGCTAGTCAGACTTGCAAAATCGCGTTTTACATAGCATTTCCTGTGAGTTTCATTAGCAATTTATTAGCGGAGAGACAACAGAATCTGTTAACAGAATATGATAATAGATTAATGGAAGAAACTGAGCAGAACCTGTCCTTCTGTAATTATTTAAATCTATTTAAATGGGACGTATGGCAGGTGTCCTGCTTGTTTTTCGTTGTCCATCCGCTGACACACTGCTGACATTTTGCTTATTGAGCTACACAGTATAATTCTTAACACTTTTATGGCCGCTCTCATGTGTACGTGATTTCGCGAGCCCATCGGTTACCAGCCGCTGTCACGCTCACGTGATTTCGCTCTGCCACTTGCTGTTGGTATTATTATATGGTACGATTTAAATTATAAAGATATGTTCAGCGCAGTTTTTTCATAAAATATTGGGACAAATTAAGCAAAAAGTGCCGGCGTTACAGGGTAGGACTTATGCGAGATATACCGGCGTCAAATGACAGTCAACGAGCAAAATGTGCGGCCATCAAAATGTTAAAAGAGCTGTATCAAGTACCTTATGTAGACCATAATCTTCATCGGGCATACGCAACGATTGCATGGTTGGTTTTAGAAGTATTACGGGTGACTCAATCTTCTGTATTTGTGTCACGTCATACTTATGAAGAGCTTGAATATGTTTGTATACAGTTGTGCATGTAGCTTTTAAATAATCGATTGATATTTTTTTATATGTTAGCGGAATATGACTGATAAACACATTCAACTTGTCATCCCAGTTAGAAAATTTATTTAATTCCAACAGAAGCTGCGGGATAAAGAAATTATTTTATCTTTGCCAGAGAAATTCAAGCCTAAAATTAACACACATTGGTAGGAATAAATACCTTTCCACTGACAGCAGGTTGTAATATGTCGGTTATACCCAGTAGAACATTATTTTGATGTTCATCAATCGTAGTGAAAGGTAGATACTGACTCGCCAATGCTTTGATCTGCTCAGGTGCACCGTCAATAAGTACTAATCTGCCTCGCAGGTTCATTTCTTCCAACCTTCTTACTAATTCAATTCCTATGATTGTTCCAAATGAATACGCGACTATGACGAAGTTCTTTCTCGACTTGATTCTGTCTGTTATATGCTGGAAACATAGAAAAGCGGATAAATAAATGTATAATGAGAAGCAAAGTTAACGAAATATTTTGCTTGTGTGGCATTCCGATTATCGACATAATATTTAACAGTATTAAATTGAATTCATCATACTTTTAAAAGACAATCAGCAATTTCGCTTATCGTGTGACAGTCGTTGCCAATATTATACGTTCCGTACTGTAAGCATACAGCTGGAGCTTCTATTTTTGGCGCCAATAAGTTGAAAATACTCCCGCAACCTTCCACTCCCGGCAACAGAAATATCTCGTCCCTCGCTGTATCAGCTTTCGTCGGAAGACTTATACAAACGTCGGGTATTGAGTCATTATCATCGCCTATCACTCGGACGAGTAATTTTAGACCAGCCAAGTCACTGGAATCTTTAAGATTATCGGAACGCAGTTTCTCATTCAGCGTTTCTTGATTAAACATTTCAGCAAGTTTGGCGAAGTTCAGGTTCCGAATATCCTGGGCAGTGAGAAAGACTTCATACTCTCGTTCTAAGGTCTGCTTGATTTCCACGGCCATCATTGAGTCCATCCCAATCTCAGACAAGC